ATAGATCGATCGACGTATCAAGGACAGATACCATTCTGTATTTTTTGTTTTGAGGAGCTACACACAGGGCATTGTGATGCATCAGGTCGATATTGTTTTTTCACCGTATCAGACAAAGTATTACCTTCAATCAACCATCTTTGATAGCTCGATATAGCCAATGGGAAAATAAAAACTCAAACACGGCGTCCATTGTCTTTTCCAGACGCGCAATTTTTGGTCTACTCATATGTTTGATGACGTCATCATTATAAATTACATTATTCTGAATGGAATATCTCTCATTTCTCGAAAATACATACAGTGTGACCCATTTAAGATGGAAGCACCCTTATAAAACTTACATTTTTCAACCGATTGGAATGATTTTTTTTTGTTAGGTAGATATTCAAAAAGTCTATTAGGACACTAAATATCATGCATGAATCTCCATTTCCAGGGCCAACTAATCTGATTTTTCAAGGTCAAAAATCTAAAAAAATTACTAGCGATTTTTTTAGAAAAAATCTGACTACACCACTGGATTTGTGACATTTTCAAATGGGTAACATGTAAATTACGTTGGAATGCGTCAATCAATAAAAAAGTTATAAAGGAATGAAACTTGAAAAATATGCCGTTTAATCAACTCACCAATTCATGTTCAGGAATTTTATGAAAATTCTGTATACTCCACTGGATTTAGGATGTCTTGAAATATTACTGATCACAGTTTCATCGAAATCTGTTCAGTAATAAAAATTGATGGGTTGATTAAACGGCATATTTTTCAAATTTCATTCCTTTATAACTTTTTTATTGATTGACGCATTTCAACGTAATTTACATGTTACCCATTTGAAAATGTCACAAATCCAGTGGTGTAGTCAGATTTTTTCTAAAAAAATCGCTAGTAATTTTTTTAGATTTTTGACCTTGAAAAATCAGATTAGTTGGCCCTGGAAATGGAGATTCATTCATGATATTTGGTGTCCTAATAGACTTTTTGAATATCTACCTAACAAAAAAAAAATCATTCCAATCGGTTGAAAAATGTAAGTTTTATAAGGGTGCTTCCATCTTAAATGGGTCGCACGTATGTATACGTATACCAGGAAAAATGAAGAAGAATTATGACGTACCTACGTACGACGAAATAGTCGTTAGTGAATACCAAACGTTTGATAAAATAGGCGCCAGTCAGTATATTCATCAAATATTACCATAACATATTCGATATAGTATAGTAAAATACAATTATGCAGTAGTATTATTAGATGAATGTAGTGCGACTGCTGCCTCTTCAGTATACACAGAAAAATGCGTTCTTCTTGAATGTATCATCAAAATGGGGTACTGCCAATAAAAAAATTAAAATTACGTTACAACTCGAACAGTGATGACGTCATCCTAAATATGAGTGGACCAAAAAATGCGCAACTGAAAAATGAAATCGACGCGTGTTTGAGGTTTTTTGTGCATCACTAGCCATATCAAGCTTTTGACGAATTTTTTTCAACATTCTCCTTTGCTGATGAATTGTCTCCAAAATTTCTTCTGAATTCTGAAAGAACAAATCGCCTTGAGATACTTTAACAACCTGTGTCGGTGCCACAATTTGTGGGAACACATGCAACACAGTAAATCCTTGATATTTGTCAAAGATCTCAAACTTCATGAAACGTCAATCAAGCTTTATTATCCTGAAACATATCCCCAGCCAATTATGAGATATACAAATATTTTCTACCAGAGACCAATGTGAAAATGATTTTTCTGTATCGATAGGTTTTGGAGTTTCAAAAAACGAATATCCATCGAGATTGATCATCAAAAGTACCTACTGTATACCTGATGACAGGAGAATCATTTTATTACCTCAGCAAAGCTTCCAACATAAAATATATCTATAGAAATGAATGTAATGATTATGTTGATTCCACAATCTGTAGGTTCTTATTACTTTTTGAAATGATGCAAATACAGGGTGTTCTCAAAATCGGAGCGATGAATGATGTAAAATATTGATCATCCGTTGAGTTCTCTATTTTTGAAAATTAGTTTGGAAATATCTGGGGTGTTATAGGAAAAGAAGAAAACGTTTATCTTTCCAATTTCGAGAACACTCTATGAAATGTCTTTCGTCTTTTAATATTGAATAGGAACTGATTACTCATTGCTGTGCAATATGCAACTGAAAATTGATTGTTTTGTCAATTCCCCTTCTTATGATTCTGATGATGAATGATTTTTGGTACATTTTTTGATTGAAGCATATAGTTCCAAACGCGAAATGTGATATCGTAGAAACTTGCACAAGTTTTTAGTTTACTATGTATAGAAATATATATATATATTTATATTTTATGAAATGTATTAAGTGTATATCTACTTATTGAAATGGTTTTAATCGAGATAATATATGAATTCGAGATTGTGAAATATATATACCTAGTTATAATATAATGAATATTGAATAAAATATATTTATCTGAGAAGCATTGTTTTATCACTGATGATATACAGGATATCTCCCTTCACGTGGTATTTTTGGAATAAGTACATATATTCAGCACATCAATATGACACAGTCTAACGATAATTTCCAAAATATCAGATTTTTTTAATTTTCCTGAAAAACGTGAAATTTCATCCCGGAAATTTAGCGTATAAAACGGGGATTGATAAATCTGCCTGGGTTATAATAATATGAAAGGGTTCGTAACATTGTTGATAGAAATCATCACAAAATTGTAGGTAACAGTTCGTAAATCCCAGCTGTAGAATTTGTTCTTTCAAAGAAAAAAAAATTGGTGGTTTGTCAAAAAAATTATCTACAATGCCGCTAACATATTACATTTCTTGACAGACGAACAAAAACCCCTGTGGAACAAGAAAACCATCATCACAGATATAGGTGTTTCAATGAAAATAATACTTAAAAATATCCTTTTGACCACCAAGTACTCATTATCCAAATTGATTTTTTCCAGGCCTATTAGAACCATATGCCAAGGCACTACTTTGTTATACATTAGTCATTTAATTTTTTTTTATTTTGTTGTTATTTTGGAATATTTCCAAGAATTTATATATTGTTTTTCTTCGAACTGGACATGATGTGAGTAGATAAAATGATTCTCATCGTTCCTTCCATTATTTTGTCTTTATTTCCTTTTACTTCCTCAATTTGGATCAATGTTTCTCATAAAATAATGATGTTTCATATAAGCCATGGTAACGGCCTTTATGAAAAATTCTCAAGAAATCAGATCAGATTCATATCGAAAACTCTACTCCGGACCTCCCACTTTCATGGAACGATTATATTTTCAAAATAAAATCCATGAAAGAGTCTCAAATTTTTTTTTGTAGAAAATAATTTGAATAAAACATAGTGGACTTCATTTTTTACAATGGATATGAAGAATATGCATGTGTGACAGTCGAGAATATAGGTACCTATATAAAACAAAGAAACCCCGTTTCACGGTAATGAAAAATAGGAATGAATCAAGTATACGCCAATTCAAAACGATTTAAATGATTGAAAGATATGATAAAGGCTTTCAATGCACCTCAAATTTCAGTTTGACTCTTGTATTTTTTCATTGGTTTAATTTTCTTTCCCTAGTATACGTCAAGCTTCTCATCAGGGTCGCCCTTTATTTAAACCCATATATCAACGGCTTTCACTTTACGAGGTAGAATAAAGTTCAAATATGACAGTTGCATCAAAGCTTCATCAATATAAATATCTCTTGACATGTCTAGGCAGACAAATACGAGTGGCAAAATCGAAAAATATATGAGATGAGCAAATCTACTAAGAAAGATTCTGTATGTCTTCAATAATTTAGTTTCCCAACGTCTAGTATAATGTCTTCTCCTCAGTTGTTTTCCATACTTATTCAGCTTACGATTTTGAATCGAAATTATATTCCTAGGAATTTTCAATATGTATATATTAGGTGTTAATTTGATATAATGAGTGTATTTTTTGCGTCAACTTGAATAATAATACCACTACCGAAAGTAATTGATACCACTGTAGAAGATATTATCAAATCGCTAATAATATTGATATAATATTACTAATTGAGTGTTGATTCAATCGGAGTTATTTTTTAAATCCACTCGATTGAAATTACACCCGAACATTTTTCACAGTGTAGATCTGAAAACATTTCCAATAAAATGGAATGTTACAACCATCATCATCATAATATACGGATTAATGAATGAATTAATATCGTTATATAGATTCGTCAGAAAATCCTTTTTTAGGAAAGTGCCTGACAAAAAATGGTTGCCATTTGAAAAATCATAGTTAGACACGGAAATGTGATTTTGTCAATTTTTGATCTTACTATCTGTCATACTAGCCACTGAAACTTTGTGATTATAATTTTCTGACATCAACTGGGATCATGGCCACCTATATCTAGGTAGGCAAAATTTAAAAGTGACTTAAATAATGTACTAGGCCTAAAAACTTGTGGGAATGTTACTTTCTGATCCACAATTGTATCAGTATTTCGAAATTATTATAATATACAGGGTGTTCCATTTAAAAATTCAACACATCAGGAGCCATTTCCAATTATACCGGAAGTGACCTGTGAAGAATATCCGAAAATTTTCATCCTAACATACCATATACCAAGCCATATACCCATGATAAATTTCATTTTAATACACCAATTATTATTCTAGAAGTTATATGACTTGTCTATATAGATTCGTTGACACCCGGTATACCGATACTACGGCGGTAACGAAGTTTTCTTTTTGTTCATGAATTTTTTCCATTGTTGAATTTTGTAATCAGAATTATTTGTGAAAGTACGAGAATTCGCCTTCTATGTATATTAGAAATTAGAAGTCAAGAAATTAGAGTCAAGATATATTGATCGCACCTCGTACACCAAAATCTGATGTTTCACGTTACGAACCCACGAATGTTATGTAATGTGGCAAGCAGGCAATAATAAAATGAATTAGGGACTATATAATAACTTTAATTATTATTCTACTAAGCTTTAATCGAGCTATGGCAAAACATCTTAGTGTAGTTGAAACTGGTTAAAAAAATAGCTCGAGTTGTGAACATGTGCATGATTGTTCAATGACACAACCAGATGAATAACTGACAACGTGCTCTTGTGAACATTGAACAGTGTGATATGGCTTAGTGAATAGTGATTAGAATCAGAATTGTGTCGGGCAATGACAAAACAGAAATTTATCATCTAATCTAAATGACGATACTTCTAAATGTTTGCAGCAAATTGAGGATAATATGTAAAGCAAGCCTTGGACGAATTTATAGCTCGTTTTTATCGGACCCGCAGACGATTTTTGGTGAACTTACTTCTCATTCACGGTAAGAATCAAATTGTTTTTCCTTACCTATATAATACCTATACACTATGTGGATAATTCAAATTTTATTTTACCATTGTCATCATGTCATGATCGTTATTATTTTGTGCACAGAGTGATGTCAATGACAACAACAATGGCCGTAGGTCAAGAAAGCAAACTATTTCAAGGAAAGATTGATAGATTCAAAGGTGTTTCGGTGGATTCGAAAGAAGAAACCTGTAATGATGTGATGGAATTTTCGCAGATCCTGGGAGGTATGTTTATGAATAAAATGTGATAAATATATTTGCATTTGCACGAAACTTACATGATACTTTCGCAGATTCATTGAAACATTGGAAGGAAATAGGAAATAGAGGAATATGGTTCAAGGTCCATCTCAATCAATCCGAATGGGTTCCTGTTTTAGTGAAGGTTGGTATTTACACAGTTTAAGGAATGGGTATGTATTTATCTTGCTATCTCAAGTCTCGACACAAATTGTGAAAAGTGTTATAGAGATCTACGGTACGATCGATCATTTGCAGGACACTACTAATGTTCAACTACTGCTACATCCCATGAGATGGCGCTAAAGTATGTGTATGAACGAGACACTTCATCTATGACATTCGGTGTTGCTATATAAAGTACTAGATTGGTTAACGAGAAAAATAAGAAAAACTTGTACAGGGGGAAGTGTACAATCTCTGATTAATATATTATTTTTTCGATAGTATGGGAAAATACATGGTATCAGTAATTCGATTGAAATTAACCTAATATTAACCTCAGGATGTTGTTATAACACATTTGCCCATTTCAATTTTGTTTTTGGGTTAATTAATTGTATTTTCACAGATTAGGTCAATAAATGCCGACATTGATACTGTACTTCAACAAAATATAAGAGTATCGTTTCGTCAATAAGACATCTAAGAATGTTTGGTGACTGATGTTCTGACATTGTTTCTAATAGTTTACATGTTGTATTTTCAACAATCAATTCTAAAACAAATCACAAACAGAGAGCTCGAATCTGGGTTTGAATTGAATATTCATTGAATTGCCCCAGACTACGAAATATAGGTACTATTCACAACAGAAATGTGAACTTCCGTCATCTTTGCCCCAGCTTCTGAGGTAAATGTGATATATATCTGTTTGATCAAACCACTGACTAATACTCATATATGAATACCAACACGATGGAAAGAATCTAGGCCGGGTCACTCCCATTTTTAAATCAGGTGACACGTCAGAAATGGGTAATCACTGACTGGTTTCTGTGATGAATAATTCTGCGAAAATATCAGAATATGCTCTGAGAACGTGCCACGTCAACTTCTTTGATAAACATAAAGTAATAACAAAGAAAGAATTTGGTTGCATAAATAAAATTAATACAGAATCCGCAATACTGAATTTATTTTCTCAAATAACGGAGGCCTTGGATAATTCAGAAATATGCGTTGTCGTTTTTTTGGATCTAGCCAATAACGCCTTCGATACGGTTTTCCCTGAAAACTATCAAATAAACTTCATATGTATGGAGTACGTGCGAGGACCGGCAATCAACATCTTCAAAAATTAATTATCAAACAGGAAACATTCTGTAAAATTGGTAACTGCAATAGTACTCGTCGTGAAGTTTCTGTTGGGGTACCCCAGTGCACAGTTCTAGGTCCAATACTATCATTAGTTCATATAAACAGTATACCTGAAATTAATAACTTTAAAGGTCATCTATAATCTCTTACGCTGATGATACTGCAATAATTTATAGAGCTGAAACATGGAAGCAGGTATTCGATGATGCAGAAGAAAGTTTGAAAACTATACAAATATGGTTGAATGATAACCTTTTCAACCTTGATATTTCGAAAACGAAATTTACCTATGACATTCAGTCTCCAAAATAACCAACAGCCCGATGTACGAAAACTTCATATTCATTAACCTACTTCGTTATGTAAATTCCTATACATTGGAAAAGTACACACAATAAAATATCTTGGCGTGTATGTAGCCCAGTACATGAAATGGGAGAAACATGTTCTGCATATGGTCAAAAGACTTATAGGCAATTAACATATAAAATATACAATCTTAGGGTTATTTTGACGAAAAAAAACTTGCTAATTATATACTATAGTCGAATCTGAAATAAGATATTGCATCACAGTAAAGGGGGAAGGGAGTCCTTGAGAATATAGTGAATAATAGGATAGAAATCCATGGCAAATAAAAAAACTTCACAAACGATAAGATTTCCACAAAATTCCCAAACACACATGTTTCGCTAACACAGTAGCTTCGTCAGGTGATATACTGCGGTACGATGAACTAAACTAACCTTGGTTTGCTTATATATCCTACTTTACAAACCTGTAGGATTTGTTACCTGTGGGCAGGTTCCATAAACCTTCATTTTCGTAAATCAGGTACAATATCTACATCAAAATACGTGAACCAGATTAACTTGAAAGCAAATACATATTACCTAATAAGAAAACAAATTCGATAGTGGTGAACTATTGAGGTCTAATTGGTCGATAAGTCAAGACAAAAGAAGAACGTTTCTACAAGTGACCCAAGCTATCATCTGCTCAAAGTTTTTTCTAGTTTGTATTCGAGCAGATGGACATAATTTATTTCATCATGAAGTATTAAGTTGAAAGTAATTATCATTTTGATCATTTTTTCAACCAGAAATGAGTAAAATGAATGACATTCTTGTGAAAATCATCTGTGATCACATTTTCGTCAATAAAGAAATGTCGTTCATCATAAACCAGTATAACCGAGTATAACTCAGAAACCAGAAATTAGTTCAATAAATGAGTTCGAGTAAATAACAAGAAAGTTTTTGAATAACATGCACTGTTGACTGCGTGTAATTTCAAAGTAAATGGAATCGATTTTATATTTTTGACACGACGCCACGCTCAGCTCTTAGTGGGTGATTAATTTTTTATACTTCGATTCAAATTTACTTGATCTCATCCTTCGACAATTTTTAACTGAAATTGAATATTTTTATTCGTTTTCGAAATATTGGCGTGCGGACTTTTAAGTGAAGTAGGAAACTGAGAGTCCCACAGTAACTATACTTTAAATCATTAAGACCTATACTCACAAGTTATCACTTTTATAATGATCCAGTCGATCAGCCGCTCAGATGAATATTATAATAACACACTCGCGCATCGTATTTATCAGCTGATCTATCTCTTGCAGAATGGCTTCAAATTCCATCATGCTAAAGAAGAATACGTGATGATGTATCTATGGCTGCCGAAAACAGAAAATTGTAACATCCCCCAGTATGCTCACACCATGATTGGGGTAGGAGCTGTAGTGGTGAACGAGAAGGATCAAATTCTGGTAGTTAGCGAGAAATACTACGTGGTGGATAAACCGCATTGGAAGTTGCCTGGTGGATATGTTGAACCTGGTAAGTTCATTTAAACTACTCAACACTAATTTCGTCGCACACCAAAATGTCGCCCCTGTTATAATGTGAATAACTTTTTTCAGTTTAGAACAATTTGAATTTGGTTCACACTGTTCGATAGCCCAGTCCTTCAGCTATAATCTCGTACTTCATTGAAACATAAGGGTATTCACATAAAATCTCTATATGGTGTTTTCCGACACTGTGCAAAATTTCGGAATATTCAAAAGGTTCTCGAATGGTGAAAACATTTTTTTTCTCAACTTCGACAACAGAGACATGAAGATGATCTCATTACCTCGAGATGTTTCGCGAATCAACTTCCTATCTCTCTTATTTACAGAGTGATCTCAAAAAATCAACTTTTTGGTTTTGCAGCCATAACTTTTTTCCACGTCAACCGATTTTAAAAATCTTGAGCTCATTTTGAAGATAAAACTTCAGATGAAGAGATCTGAATATCAGAATTGACTCAAGATGGCTATCAGAGATCTAGAGTTTACTTGAAAGTGACCCGAATCTGGAACGCCCTCAGAATCTCGGTTGGGAGGAGAATTGAATGAAAATCAACTTGTTCTCGGAAAAACAATTCATTCTGGATGCGTCCATATTTTCCTCGTTCTCAGTAGTCAAGAATTGTGCGTGAGAAAACACAATTGAAACATGTTCTTGCAAAAATATCATACCGTTTCTCCTCTGTAATGCATGGCCCGTAACCAACGTTACAAGAATCACAATGGACTGACAAACCCGACTAGCTAAGGCTCATCATAAATGGTGTACCAACAACCCAATGCGGTCTCGCATTGTCATCAACGAGAACAAAGTTGTCACCCACATTCGCGTTAGATGCGGCATCGAAACTATCGAAATCTGTTTATGATTCGAAAACGACCTCTAACCTGACTTGTCAGTCACTTACTCTGATTCTTGTAACGTAGGTTACGGGCCATGCATTACAGAGGAGAAATGGTCTGATGTTTCTGCAAGAACATGTTTCAATTGTGTTTTCTCACGCACATTCTTGACTACTGAGAGCGAGGAAAATATGGACGCATCCAGAATGAATTGTTCTTCCGAGAACACGTTGATTTTCATTCAATTCTCCTCCCAACCGAGATTCGGAGGGCGTTCCAGATTTGGGTCACTTTCAAGAAAACTCTAGATCTTTGATAGCCATCTTGAGTCAATTATGATATTCAGATCTCTTCATCTGAAGTTTTATCTTCAAAATGAGCCTAAGATTTCTAGAATCGGTTGAAGTGAAAAAAAGTTATGGCTGCAAAACCAAAAATTTGATTTTTTGAGATCACTCTGTAAATAAGAGAGATAGGAAGTTAATTCGCGAAATATCTCGAGGTAATGAGATCATATTCATGCCTCTGTTGTCGAAGTTGAGGAAAAAAATGTTTTCACCATTTGAGAGCCTTTTGAATATTCCGAAATTTTGCACAGTGTCGGAAAACACCATGTAGAGATTTTATGTGAATACCCTTATGTTTCAATGAAGTACGAGATTTTAGCTGAAGGACTGGACTATCGAACAGTGTGAACCAAATTCAAATTGTTCTAAACTGAAAAAAGTTATTCACATTATAAAAGGGGCGACATTTTGGTGTGCGATGAAATTAGTGTTGAGTAGTTTAGTTCAGACATTTTCAGCTGAATTGATTTAAAAATGAATGATTCAGCTCTTGTCTACCTTGACCGAGAGAGAAGAAAGTTCTCTCTTCCTCCATCTTTCTCTTCAATAATACCATTGAAATGTAGAGAGGTCCGATAAATCTTTCCTTGTCTAACATCTAGTTTGTGCCTCTGAACTATTTTTCAATTCAACAGAGTGTCTAATCGTGGGTAATATCTCGAGACCATGACAAATAGCCGACTAATATTTTCTTCATGATTCTATCGAGAGTTCCTCGTATTTTGACAATTTGATGAGACCATAATATGAACATTATTCTATGAATATTTTTGTTCTTATGGTTGAATTGAATTGTCCCAAAATACAAGTTACTCGAGATGAATTAAAGAAAATAATAGTCTCCATTTGTCATGGTCGAGTGATATTCAGGAAGATTATTTGATGAACAGTGTAAAAATACTGGTTTATATGAGTTTCAACATTTTATTCAAGTTACATTTTCTAATTCTGCAGATACTATTCGAATAAAAATTCTCATGAATGCCGTCTGGGGTATTCTCATCATATCTACGTACAATTGCAACCAATTCATCTAAAGTTAGAGCAAAGGAAGAATATTAACGCTATTGAATTCAATATATTCAAATGGATTCATCTTACGTTTATATTCATTGAAGTAACCTTTCTGTATATAATTTTCCATATCAATTTCAACTGGTGTATTCCTCATATTCCTCACCATTCCTCTCACCCAATCTTTTAGGATTTGGGCAATCACGAGAGATAGGGTAGTCGCACAAAATTCAAAGTTTTTCTGCTGGCAAAAACAACATGAATTGTTCCAGACAGACTCTTAACTCTCCTTGTTATTTTCTGATATCGATTCGCTTACATAATTACGGATTTCCGTAGTGGAAGTTGACCCAAAACGAGACATTTCAATTTTTGAGTGACTGATATGTATGTCGAAATTTGACAACCAGAGCACTCTTATCCTGGCGAACAGAATATAGCAGCTCATATTGATTGATTACCTAAATAGCCGCTGATATCGCACATCATGTGACTTCAATCATGACATATTTCATTGGTACAGCCGGGTGTGAATGAAATAATCAACGATTTTAACAAAATATGTCAAAAAAGTATGATATAATCTGTAATTTCATTTCAAATATCTGAAAGATTATCAGTCAATGATATTTATGACATAGACATATCACATATCATATCATAATCTGAACTAACTGAAACATCTCACTAGAACTGAACTGAATAATCTATTATGTATTCTTTCGGAATAATTTGATTAGTTAGAATGCATGTCAACTGATTCAATTCACCCAGCCAGCACAAAGAGGTCCTAAAGATATCTTGAAGAAATCCTTTTAGGAAATTGTGATGCCTTTTGTAACTTCTCAGAGAGATCGCCGAGAGTGCTATATCTAGGCCAAATGTCCGCCATCTAGGCTGAGCTCAGGGAGGTCTTGAAGATATCGCACGCAGAAATTCTCATACAATGCCCTCAGGCGCGCACTTTGAGATATACGCTTCCATCGCCATTGGCGATAACTGAAAGTGCTCGCAATCATGAGCTGTTTGAGAAATTAGCATACATTGCTTTGTGACGAGGACATTGGGAGATTCGCATCAATTGCTTCTGTCGAGGTCTTTGGGTGCTCGCGACTACGAGCTGTTTGAGATTTTCGCACGCATCGCCTCGTGAAGCGAACTTTGGGAAATTCGCATCAATTACTAATAGCGAACTCTTCAAGTGCTCGCAACTATGAATTGTTCAAGAATCCGTGCACATCACCTTATAATGAGGCCTTTAAGAGCGATATTTGCATCAATCGCCACATGATCGCCACTAATATGGTGAGGTGTTCAATTTTTGAGAAGTCATTGGTTATCAGCAGTCTCCTGTCGGCGAAGTCTAACTAGCGCCAGCTATATTGTTTGGGGTGGAGTTAAATTTACTGGATATTTGTTTCAGCGAAAAAGATTGAGTTACCAAACTTAGAGTTAGATCAACGTAATGAGCTTTAATTATATATTATTCTAAAGCAAGACATCGATCAAGTAAACTTTATCACTTGAAAAAATCTCCGAGGAGTTGGCCGGGCATCCTTTAAAAAAAAGGTCGTCCGATATCTACCCACGAATTTGAGGTAGATATCTGATTCTCGATCCCACCTGAATTAGAACATTTTTGTCTTTTTCGTCAGAGCAGATAATCAATTATCATTAATTCACTGCAAAATTTGAAATAATCAAGAAGAAAATCTAGTATCTAGTATACAATTATTATTATCATAGATTAATGGCTCCTATCTCATGTTAATACTGGGTGTCCCAAGTTATCGTAAAGGTACCGGCAAAAACTTGCTTACTCGACAAGATGAACAAAAAATAGTAAAAATGCTTCAAATGACATCAGAGAACTTTCTTTATGACTCAAAAAAAGTGTATAAGATTGGACAGCCACCTGGTAGCAACTCCTCAATTTTCATTTATTGGACTTCAAGTATATTGTCATTGAAAATTGCCAATCATCCTATTTCGGGAATGAACGATAGCACATCGGTACTTTGTATTTTGTCGAGGGGTAAATCACGGCGAAAAAAATTGTACACCAAACTTCCCGTGGGTCAAAACTTCCCAAACTTCCTCGAACTTCCTCAAACTTCCTCGAACTTCCCCGAACTTCCTCAAACTTCCCCGAACTTCCTCAAACTTCCAAAACTTCCTCGAACTTCCCAAACTTCCTCGAACTTCCTCAAACTTTCCCGAACTTCCCAAACTTCCTCGAACTTCCCAAACTACCTCGAACTTCCTAAACTTCCCGAAACGTTTCATCAAACGTTACAAACCAAGTACTTATAAGCAATTTAGTATTGATAGATTCAAAATTTGTTCTTTTCCTTATAGTAGGTAGATATATAGGGTGGTCCGGTTTGTTATACAAAAATTCAACCGTGTGGTGTTCTCGTTGAAATAATGAAATACTTTTATTGCATTCATTATACATAATCTTCATTTTATCTTATAGAGCTTAAAAAGTTTAGTATCTTGGGTAATTTTGTGGATTTATCTCGAACCGTTTCGAACTTTTCATCAGAAAACAATATTCAGACTCGTATTTTAAACACCCTATATCTCGAAAACAAAGCGTTTGGAAGTATATGTTTATATGATTTTCTTTATAATTTCAACCGAGTACAACACAATGTTGAATATTTTTTATTACGAACCAGATCACATTGTATAGGTAGGTATTACCTACGTATATGTATAGGTGGGTACTTAAACTTGAAAGTACTTTACTGGAAGGAATTTGAAACTGGATGTCATGAATATCTGCACTGTATTTCAATACAAAATGGAATTCCACTTCATTACAATTTTGATTAATCCACCGACAGAAGTCAACTATCAAACTAATTACATATTATGCAATGCAGGTTTTCTGTACCACGAATTTTTAGGTAGGTAGGTACTATTGACTTATCCGAGGACTTATCTAACAGCATCTGTTGAAAGTTCCGAAATAATAATGAACTCTTTGAAATTATGTGAAATATTATTTCTATACAGGGTGTTTCAGAGTTGTGTCGACAAAAGCCGTGACAGAAGCCTCTAGCAATAATAAAATACCCATAATTCATTTAACTCGAAAACGAAGCATTTTCGGACCCATTTTCATATTAACGCGATTTCATAATTTGTTGGGAGGAATCTCCCCTAGGCTTTTGTCACCACAGCTCTGTATATCCTGAGATATTAAGTTTCTTGGATTATCTAGCCAAAGGTTTTTCCCGACCGGCTCCACCCAAACGTTCACAGACATCCTACAGCTTGCTTGGTCTTTCGGAAACTTCCCAAACATCCTCGAACCTCCAAAACTACCTGAACATCACGAAATGTTTCAGACTCCGCCGAACTTCCCAAACTTCCCCAAATCACCCAAACTTCCTCGAACTTCCCCAAACTTCCTCGAACTTCCCAAACTTCCTCGAACTTCCCCTAACTTCCTCGAACTTCCCCAAACTTCCTCGAACTTCCCCAAACTTCCTCGAACTTCCTTGTGTCTGTACACTAAACTTCCCACGTGATTTACCCCTCGTATTTTGTTCATTAATAACAACATGAACAATACAATTTTTTGACCTCATTTACGTTACATCGATTGAAAATTGCCCCTCCTTCCATGTTCGTAAAAACGTCCCACAATGAAATTAGATTAATTATTACACTAGGTAGGTACCGTCTGCAATGATTGATGTTCTGCAGTTCAAAATGGAATATCTGTCATTATTATTTTGAAACAAAAATGCAATCCATACTTCTTATTTGTGAACTTGAACACATGGGTGAAAGCAATTTGTCATTTGAGTAACGTAAAAAAGTCACAAAATGTTCATGTTTTTGTTATTATCAAGAACAAAACACCAAGTATGTGCTATATCGTTGTATTCCAAATAGATTGACACGCAATTTTCAGAGACAATATGCTATACTAGATCAGTATCTACCATCCGGGGTCTGCCAAATATATCACATTCTTCATAAGCCATTAGGAAGGTTATTTAATGCCATTTAATGCAGTTTTTTAATGCTCCTGATATCTTGACAAATAGGCAAGATATTGCCTGTAAACGATAACTTGGGACACCCAGTATTTGAATTATAAAGGCTATTGAGAAAAACAACTCAATATTTTTGTAGGAATATTCATTAATTATTCAGGTTATGTTTGTGATCACTTTAGGAGCTCGCAATGGGAAATTCTCGATCTTGTTACGTCCAGGATATCCTCGGGTGCTCGCAGAAAGAAATGCCTATTCATTTCCTGTTATAGATAACCTCAAGGATTCGCAATAATGAGGAATATATCAAATCTGAGGCGAGATCTCCGCGATTCCTTTCGGACGACTCCAGAGAGTATTTCCCATGGTGACAGCCTATAGTGATCTTTGATACCTCGCAGAAGGATTTCGCATTTTGATCCTGAAGATAACTACTTAGAGATATCGCGGAGAGTACTGTGTTACCTGGGGCAGTCCAAGTGAAATATGTCAGTTCAGAGGGAGAGAATATCATTATTTGCGATAGGTAATAAAATGATCGAAGTAAGATATGGTGTAATTACTGATGCGCTTCTGTTTCAGAAATTTTATTCGACCTCTCGAGAGCAGCGAGAGCAATGGTTCCGTTGATCTCCTAATAGATGGCGACATTGCACAATTATGACTTCTGTCAGTTTTGAAATTGTCGCAGATTTTTCGAATTCAGAGTTGTTTAATCCCACTGTTACATATGTTCCGCGTACCTAAAATGGCATTTGCCATTTTATTTCCACTCGTCACAGCAGCAATAGCAGCATCACCATCTAGCGGGAAAATGTAGAATCAACGTCTCGCTCGTTGTGACGTAGAGAAATCATAGTAGGCCGGTCGAGTGTTTTTTCTGAAAAGTTTCAATACGTAATAATGGCCGTATGCGCGCACCATATCTTACTTCCATCATTGGTAATAAGCATACGCCACCTATCGGAGTTCGTAAAAGCTTGTTTGTTTTCATTCGTTCATATTTCTTTTTCGTGTGTGCTTATTTGGTCACATCATCAAACCAAACCGCCCAGAGTTCAAGTTTTTACCTTCAGGTGGAGTGACGTGTTATTTTCTATCGAGAATAACATCGAAAATAGTTCAGTAGCGCAGACTAGATGTTGGACAAGGAAAGATTTATCGGACCTCTCTATATTTCAATGTGGCCAGATTGCGTTGATTGATATATTAATCAATCAACGCCAGATTGGGAGCATTGAAGAGAAAGATGGAAGAGGAGAGAACTTTCCTTTCTCTCGTTATTCAAGAGGTAGAAAAGAGCTCGCGAATGCCATAAGAAAGGGTTTATAACAGGATCATGCGGTATACCGCCCCCTTTATCACTTCAATCTTGAAGATAAGTGATTGGAATTACGAATAACCCATCAACCTGAAAAACTTCTGAAATGAATATGTATTATTTTCTACTCACCGGAATTGGTGATAACTTTCGACATCCATTTACACTTTCGATGGAACCAGAACATTTTCCAATCAAGTATACTGTTCCCATATTTGGAGTGCAGCACCCAAACATACCTTGAAACTGTTGGATTCTGTCCAAACAAGGGCAATTCGTCTCGTGGGTGATGCCTCGCTCACAAACCCACTCACTTCTCTGGGACACCGTTGAAAAGTCGGCGATCTGGCTCAACTTTATAGATATTTTTGAACTATGTTCTTCTGAAATATCAACGATTGTTCCTCCCTTGGCAGTCCCCGCGAGATCAACCCGTCGAGTTGAGGCTTCGCACCCTTCATGGTCACTTCGGAGACCTGCAGAACATCTCTTCCCAAAGGCTCGTTCATCCAACGAACAGCGAGGCTCTGGAACACATTGCCAAGGGAGGTGTTCCCGAGGCATATAACCTCCAGAAATTTGAGAAGAACACCAATTCCTACCTTATTTACCTTGGTTCTCACGATGTTCTCTGAACATTACAGGATATACTTTCCCGTGGAAACCAGAACATAAAAAAACTGGCATTGATATAAACAGGTTTTCACGCGAATACAATTTGCACGCCAATATTCAGAAGGAGATAGACTGTGTCATTCAAAACAAAAACGTCCTTATCGGACTGGTAGTTTGACGAATGTGTATCCTTATCTTTTGGCTAATTTTTGGTGATGCCTTGATTTCTCAGAGAAGTGTAGCTTGCCAAGTAGGTTGAAAATCACCTTGTGCATTGTGTTTTTTTTAGGTGAAAATTTGGTGGATGCGGCTATTCGTGAGGTCTACGAAGAAACCAAAATATCCACCGAGTTTCAGTCAATTTTGACCCTAAGGCACATCCACAATGGGATGTTTGGCTGCTCAGACATTTACACTGTCGTCAGTCTGAAGCCACTCACTCAGGAAATCGAAAAATGCGACAGGGAAATTGAGAACTGCATTTGGATGGACGTCCAAGAATATTTGAACCATCCTCATGTCCACGACCTCAACAGATTCTATGTTCAGAAATATTTGGAGTACAAAAAGTGTAACATCAAAGTCAATTGTTTTCATGGGTGTCATCAGATAGTCAACAAGCCTTATACTGTGTATTCTGTCACTAAAGCTGATGAGGAAGGTCCAAAGGAAAATGGAGAAAATTCAACTAGCTGACTTTTGTCAGTTTCAGATTCTTTCAAAACTCTTATTATTGTAGGGTGAAGTCAAGATTGAACTATACAGGATTAAAAAATTTTTTTTGTACGAATATATGTGCCAATAATAGAAATTTGTATCCAATAGAAGTTCAATTGCTCCCGTCAATAAAATGTTGCTACAAACCTGGACTACTTAATCTTTTCACAACCCTTTACCTAATGAAAATTCTGGTTATAATAGAGTGAAATTATGATTGAGATATGAATAAGAAATCAATGTGAACTCGTTTGTTTGAAAATATATGTGGCTATAATGAGACATTTGGTTGGTAAAATTTGTACTGGGTGTATTTTTTTACTCGGGTCAATATAAAGTGTAGCTACAAACCTCAATTACTCACTTGATATTTTCTACAACCATTTTATAAAAACTCTGATTGTTTAGGGAAAAATCTAGATTGAGATATTGAAGAAAAATGAACAAATTTGTTCGAAGATCTGTGCGAATAATAAGAGATTTGATGCCGATAGAAGTTCCACTGAGTGTACTCTCCTACTCGCGTAAATGAAGTGTAAGATCTATTCCTTCATATATATTTTGTACAGGGTGGCTAACTAAGACTCCAGAGTTCGATACCTCTGTTGTCTTGAGAGATACAAAAAAAAGTTTCGCATTCAAATTAAAGTGATAACCGAGCTTCACATTTCAAAATCTTTCTTTGAATCTTTGAATTCTCCCTGGAGATCTGATTTCAACGACCCATCATACTTAGGGTCTAGCAGTGAAAGTTACTGACATATAGGGTGTGCAAAATCGAGATTTTCCAAGTTCAGGATTTTTTTCTGTCGAAACTGTTCATTATTCGTCAAAACGGTTTACATGTCCCTTTCTCAACTTTTCACTCACTATCAATATAATTTATTTGCTGCGCCCCAGGCAATTATCCCATAGCTCAAATGGCTTTCCACAAGAGCATAGTACAAGGTTTTCATCTGATGGGTAGTAAGTAATTCAGAAATATATTTGAGTCTGTATAGGATACTTCTTATACTTCTAAGTTTTTTCGTTACATACATAATATGATCATTCCATTTTAGGTTACAGTCTATCATTATACCCAAGTATTTTATATGCTTAGTTGCCGATATATGTAGGACCTCATCTACTCGCACTGACAGCTTCTGGAATGCAGGTAAAAACTTCGAATAAGAGGTGAAAGGAACATAGTGGGTTTTTTCGATGTTTAATGTCAGGAGTTTATAATCGAACCATTGTTTGATCTTTATGAAATCGCGTTCCGCTTTGTTTTTCAGAATCTCCCAGTTTGGCGCTTTGAATAGGATTGCTGTGTCATCGGCAAAACTCAAGATGTCACCTTCCAGTGATAAATTTAAAAGATCGTTTAGATAAATATTGAAAAGCGTCGGTCCCAGAACTGTTCCTTGCGGTATCCCATATTCTATTGTTTTTACCGAACTAGCATGTTCTCCAATCTTGACAAATTGTGTACGACCAGAAAGATAGCTTTTTAATAATTTATATGATGTGCCCCTGAACCCTATACTCTCGAGCGTCTCCAACAATAATTCATGACTGACAGTATCAAATGCTTTCTTAAGGTCTATGAAAATGCAGAGCGCTGGCTTTTTCTCATCAATTGCTTTGCTTATTTCTATAGTCAAGTAATAAGCAATCTTGTGTTGATACATTCTCTCTGAATCCGAACTGTTTGTTGGAAATTATTTTATATTTATCAGTATATCTGACAATTCTTTGTTTCAGTGGTCTTTCAAATACTTTCGATAGATTCGAGATCAAGGAGATTGGTCTATAGTTTGAGATGTCCCTTATGTCTCCGCTTTTGAAAATTGGTTTTACAACAGCCGACTTGAATATTCCAGGAAATATTCCAGTTGACATCGATAAATTGAAGAGCCATGTTAAGGGTTCACTTATTTGATGAGCTATCAATTTGAGTAGTTCAGCTCTCAAGCCATCTATTCCAGGTGATTTTTTGTTTTTTAATGTCATTATAGTATCGATCACTTCTTTGTTATCTGTTTCTGCCAAAAAGATGATACAAAATAACAAAATGCAAACAATGATAAATGGGCCATCACTTCTCAAGCAATGTCACCCGAGTGAACTATCATTGGCCTAATACTAGAATTTTTCAACAGTAAATCGAAAAAGTGAAACGCTGGCCGACTCAACGCTTATTTATTGTTGGTCTACTGTTGACCGACAAACGTATTCTCAATACGTTAAATGTCCATTCAAGTACGTCCATTGAACGTCCTCACGATCCGAAGTGGACGCACATTGGACATACATATGAGTACAGAGTACTTGTAACGTTTTTATTTTCTAATATAACTAGCCTACATCAAAACGTTACTTTTCTACGTGATCTTCTACTATAATTCCAGATAAAACTCTCAAATGAAACACTATAGAAGTCAGACACTTTTATTGTATATTTTGTAACATAGTTCAAAGAGGTGTGTCTAGTTGAACACACTGTATACCACGCTGCCTCTCCTTGTGTCTCATGAGTTGTGGGTATCCTGAAAAAAATTAAATATAAAATCAATCTGAATGTCAACATTGAATAGCAACACAAATATTTTATCCAATGAAAATCCTACCTGAATCTTTTTGCATGATACGTGAACCATACAATATTATGAACCTGCTTGAGGTAGTCTCCTATTCAATGATGATTATCAAATTTCTGTATTTCCAATAGTTTTTCTGAAAATAAAGAAAACAACAATCATAGGAATTCACAAACACTGAAAATCAGACAAGGAATAACAAAAGATACGTACGATATACTCCTCCCGTGTTTATATGTAAATATTGTATAGTTAGATATAGTCGTGGGAAATTGGTTGGAATATCTTTTCATTGATTTTCATAAATATCCCAGCGAGTTATTCAATATCCAATGTTTACTTCTTCACTGCTTGGTTATGTCGTGACCGTGACCTTGTGACCGTACTGTACTGACAGTCAGACAATTTCTACTCTTATTCTTCCTTCGTATTTGGCGAATTCCTCTGCCGTGAATTAGTCGTTCTACGCATGAATATCTTAATTCCGATGCCTCGTTCAGACCTTGCTCGAAAGGGACTCCACTATGCATGGATTTTAGCATTCGGACGTTGTTCAAAGCATACTCAACTATGTAAGGATTTTGGCATTCTCGCTGTCGCCATCTCTTGGTGTTCGTTAGAACTATCAAGTAAAATTAGGTCATGACGGACAAAACTGTGTCAATGTCAAGGTCGTATCGATTTCGGTTTCCGCTTTCCGGCGAGGACTTTTCTCAGTTGGCCATGATTCTTCTCCCAAGGTGGTTGTCCTCGCAGCAGCAGCAGCAGCAGCACGCGAACTAGTTGGCACTATTTATTCCGCTCACCTTTATGGGGCCTAACCAAGTTGCCCAAATGCAGTACAAGAGATCCAGACGTCCCGACTTCGACCACGTGACTCTTATGCCGACCGGACCCTCATCGCCACGTTCCTGCTCACCAATGTTCAACAAGGTTTATTTGTTAAAACCCTCGATCCAAACGAGGTGAGTTATTTTGTCTCCCCATCAGTGATCCAGGCGGTCTCTATACGCCCCATAATTTATTTTAGGGTTTTATGTTGGAGTGATGAATGCCGCACATCCACGTGCTCATCAGTATGGGTGATGTCAACAGCAGCGTTTAACCCCATGCAATTCCTGAAGGCCATGGTCTTTTCTTCCCTACCCTATGGGATCTTTTCAGTAGGCGCAGGTTTCTGAGTCTCCTCGAACCTGGCCAGTGGTGATCCGTCCAGACACCAATTTTGAAGCTGCCCTTCAATGTCGCCATCTTGTGACCATCTTCCATGTCCAGTAACCGTCGACATCTAGCAGATAACTGCATATTGGATAACTCAGGTTTTTTAGTATTAAGTCCATTGACTATTAATTTTACATAACTTTTACATATTTACATATCAATTATTATGGAGGTATAACTTTTCAAATTTCAACACACAGTATGTTCAAACCCTACTTGAATTTCTAAAACCATTAGCAGCGGACATGAAATATCTCATATAGCGGAAAATGCGCAATAAGACTCCCCAAAATTCATGAATTTTCAGGGTATAATCAACATCATTCAATTATAATAGTCCAATGACAATATTCTTCAAAATGGGTTTATAGGAATTTGAACTAAAGTGTCAATCATATAAGTATCATATCTGATAACATCAGGAATTGAAGAGCTTCCATAATATTCTACTATAATGTATATAATTATTAATGTATTTCATGAAAGAATTTTTCATCATTAAAATTGTGTGTATTTTTGAAGTTTCCATGTTTTTACTGATATCTCTCTCTCTTCAAACTCAACCCACAGGTTTCTGATTTTACCCTAGACGTACTATCTATGTTCTGAAAGAATCAGTGGCGTCCAAAAATTAATTATATACTCAAATACATATCAAATTCACAGTCAAGGTGATATTATCTAGTAATTGATTTTAAAATATTGAGATATCTGAGAAATAGCAAAGGTATCAACCCACACCCATATGCCGCCGACGAAAAGCTACCAGGTGCAGTGAAAAAGGTAAATTTTACGTTTCACTATTTGGCGCCCTTTTTAACGTGGTAATCTGCTCAACACACAGTATACTAACTTTGCTGTTCTCAGCTTGTTATAAAATATAAAGAAGAGAGATTTCAGTGGAAGTTTGAAAGCTTCAATAATTTTTTTTACATTCATAAGTACTGGACATGTTTTCTAGAACATTGTAATTGGACATATTTTTTTTCAATATTCAAATTGGACTTATTTTTGCTGGACATTCGAATGCGCCCTTGAAATTGGTGACTGGCCATATACAAAAAACTAAAAAACACAAAAAAAATATATATTCTTTTGTTATTCTCATCAGGATGAGATATTTTTGTTCAGTTTTTGATTTGATTTTGAGTACAAAATTGCATTAACTTTTTTCAAAAAAGGATTTGATTATTCATTTAGCAAATTTGTACAACAATCAAGTTGTTTTTTTTTTTCCAAAAAAAAAAAAAAAAAAAAAATCGAATTTGGTTTTCATACTAATTTCTGAATTAGAAATATTACATACTTTGCTTTTGATTATATATTTCCCTAGATGGAAATTCAT